AATTCTATTGAATTTGCTCATCAAATGACAGTTTCATCACTTCCCTTTGTGCACATAATGTATGACAACATTTAAATTCAGAAATCCAATTTCCAACTGTTTGCAAACCACACTATTTCTGCCAACATGAAAATGGAAATTCTGTTGACACATCTTTCTGTATCTGTGTGTCAATGCAGATGTCTCTCTCAGCATGGAGAAAAAATGTCAGTGTTAATCACAGAAATAATGTAATGTCAACAAAGTATGAACAGGACTGTGATATTTGGGTTCAATGTTGGTATGCTCAAAAATCAACCAATCAGATTTTATATCCAAGCCTTTGATTCATTGATTTGAGTGGCTGATATGGAAGTCCAGAGCTAACATTATTAGGTTTTAATAATAATGGCCCCATTATATAAAATAAATACCTGTTTTGTTTTCAATTTTGTGCTTTAAAATTCCTCATTAGTGTCAAATTTTATTTTTTTTTTTAATCCAAATGAAAAGTTACCCCTATGTCGTTTTTGTACTTGATCAGTTTTATCATCATGTTGGTATTAATGTCAATAAACTGCCCCATGTTGGGAACACTAGCTGGTTTAGTTCTGTCATGAAGGTTTATCCTGTTTATTTAATCACATCCAGTTAAAGGATAAGACCAGTCATAATCTATATTAACAGTCAAAATATTATTAGGTACCTTATAATTCTACTCTTTTACATTTTAAACTATAATCACTTTTAACCTTTAATGCTATTTTAGTGCAGAAATAAAACTTTGAACTTTTTTCACTTTATAATTTAAATAAGGTTATATATATAATCATATACAAGTCACTAGTTTATATTTGCAGTTGTAACAATTTTAATTTTTTTTAGTTAATGCTACATGATTAAAATGACTGGACTGTGGCATTCCAGTGACTCGTCGTTTATGTTTGCCCAGAGGCATCAGCTCAGCCCACAGGGACATCCGAGGTTTGAGTCACAGCAGGGAATAATCTGAATGCAATAAAGCCTCAGTGTTTGTTCTTTAGTGACTCCTGAGATCTTGTCTGTACGCGCTACACTTTATAATTGAAATCATCCGTCCATTGTTCAAGGTGACAGTTTTAATTTACTGAGATGAGCAAATCTGGCCGTGACCTTGCTCTGCTTTGACATGGGTCACTGCCCCTGCACTTCCAACAAGGCTTCATTCATCTCCGGGTTTTCTTTGGCATATTCTTCTCATTTTTGGTGATGTGGAATTGCTTCTTTTTTGCCTCCTGGCCCAGTTTTTTCTTTAACATCTGCAGCAGGAGAAAAGAGAATCAGTGTAAACAATACTTCAGACAGCTCAGCACCTCTCTTTGTCCTGACTGACCAGCAGTATTGATTACATAATGGTTTGTTCACTCTGCTGCTTCCCCCTGTTGCCATTAACAGGCGGTACCATTTACTGTGAATGAAAAAAGTCAACTAGTACAGTTGTGAGGAGGGCAGTAGCAGCAGCTGGCTGGCTTTTTGCACAGGGTGTCATGTCTTCAAGACACTTAAATCCTGTTTTTAAGGACCTTTGGTGGAGTGTGAAATACAGTTCGTTGGACTTAATTATATGTGGGCTCCATTTGCCAGAGAGTCTGTGTGGTTTTCTAGCATATAAACCTGGAAACTACAGTTGTCTGGTAGAGTCACATTCACACACTAGCCTACTGTAATTGATATTAATTGCATGTCAGCTGCCTTAAATTCAGTTTTCCATGGTTGGTAGCTCTGTGGACTAACTGAAAACTTCTCTGCCCTAACTGCACAGTGAGGGAGGGAGGGAGGGAGTGAGTGAGCTAGTTGATTCATTTTCTAAAATATTCAGTGACAGACACTAGAATAATAATACATGGTCTGACCTCTCTTAGATTCACTGTAATGGCACATTTGACTGAAAGACAACAGCTGCCTGAAACACTTCATAAAGTGTTCAGGGAGCACAGGCACAGGCATAAAGCAGCATTAAAAAGGTTTTGATTAAATGTTTGTTTTCCCCAGAGTCCTGTATGAGTGTGTTCATATGAGGCAGTGTGAGTGAAAATGAGAGGGAGACAGAAGCAGTTTTTCAGCATGAAAGTGTAAATGAAATGGAGGAGGAAAAACCTTATTGCAGGCAGAGAGGAGGGGTTCACTGTCTGGTTGAGGGTCCCTTGGCCTCACCTCAGGCAAAGATGCTGCATTAAAGTTGGCCCAGTCTCAGGGCCTTGAAACTCCTCCTGTGTAAATATGCACCTGTCAGTGTATTTTCAGTGAAGTGTTGGTCTTGATGTATTATCCTTCTTCAGTGCTGGCAGGTGAAGGAGTGAAAGAGAGAGGGGGGTGGGGGTGGTGGGCCTAAAGTGGATAAGAAAAAATAGCAGCATTAGTATTACTGAAGTGAGCAGCTTTGGTGGGGAGGGACTTCTTTGAAGACTTACAGCCTAATCCTATCTGCTGAACTGCCATCGATGCCTCAGATTTTGTTTCTCAGGCTCTAAGACCTACTCCTACAGAAGCCATAGAGAGAGAGAGGGTCAGAGGATCTGGTAGAGTGCAGAAGAATATGAGGGATTTACTGCATGTTGATAGCATTAAACAGAACATTTATAGCTGAATATACTTTGTTTGCACATTGACCCTCGATAATAACAGCAATCCTGTGAATGTTTTGCCATCATGTACTGGAAAAATGTGTTGCAGATTCCAGGCACTGTGCATTTTCACTGTGTGCTAACTGCATTTTCGTCTGCATAATATTCTGGTAAGGTGCTTCATTTTATGAGGGATTTACCACATATAAGAAATGATTCCTCTGAGTTGAAACTTTTTCCATTTTACTATGGAGACAAAATGGTACAGAAATAAGAATTACAATTATTTTAGTGTGTAACAATGATTGCATTTATGTACAATCAGTTTCGGTTTATTAGATACATTTAGCTTAAATTCATGCTAACAAAACTGTTCAGACAGAAGCTAAATAGAATTTTTGCTTTGCATCATTTGTTCAACTTTGATAATGCAACTCAACAGAAACTCCCATTGATTATTATTTATCTGAAGTCTCATTTTTTCTAATGTTTCTTTGAGATATATGCAAATGTTTTGCTGGAGTTGGAACATTTTTCACTTCACGCAGATGTCTGTACATTAGTTTGCACTGCTCCAGGCAAGTTTGTGTCACTTTGTATGTCTTTCCATTGACAATGTGTTTATTCATGCTGCCTCTTAAATTTGCTTTGTGTGGACACACAGTAGCATAACCCATTTATATCATCTCTCAGTACAGCTGAAGACAATTCAATAGCACCACAGACTGCAACTTAAAA